CCTAGCCTAGCCTAGCCTAGCTTAGCTTAGCTTTAGCTCTAGCTTAGCTTAGCTTAGCTTGGTTTGACTTGGCTTGGCTTGGACTAGCTTAGCTTAGCCTAGCTGACCCTAGCCTAGCTTAGCCTAGCTTAGCTTAGCTTATCTAAGCTTAGCTTACCAAAGCTTAGCGGAGCGCAGCATAGCGCAGCGCAGCACTAGCACAGCACAGCACAGCATAGCATAGCACATCATATCATAGCATAGCACATCATAGCATAGCATAGCTCAGCATAGCATTGCATAGTTTAGCAACGCATAGCACAGCGTAGCGCAGCATAGCAGAGCATAGCATAGCATAGCATAGCATAGCAGTGCTCAGCATATCACAGCGTTGCATAACACAGCACAGCACATCATATTATAGCATAACATAGAATATCATAGCATAGCGCAGCATATCCTAGCATAGCATAGCATACCATAGCAAAGCACAGCGCATAATCGCATATCATAGCATCGCCTAGCATAACATAGCATAGCATAGCGCAACATAGCATAGCATAGCATAGCATATCATGGCGCAGCACATCATAGCATAGCATAGCATATCATATCATATCATAGCACAACATAGCCTAACATAACACAGCGCAGCCGAGCGTACCGTAGCATGTAGATGTGAGTCTCGCTGTTGGTGTTGATGTAGATGTAGATGCAGGTGTATATGTTAATGTAGCTGTCGGTGTAGATGCACATGTTGCTTTCCTAGATGCTCCAACTCCTAGGTAGGGCCGCACTGGGATAGTTCCCTTCAGGCCGCGTCCCGCCCAGCCCCCCCGCTCCTGAATTCGCCGGCCCAACGGGCCAGAGGCGTGCTAAGATCTCCGGTAACTACTTAACAATATTTCTAGTTCGCGCGCGCGGGGCGGCCCCTGGGGGGTCCCGGACGAAAAGCACCCCGGCCGATCCCCGGCTGACCCCTGGGCGACCCCCAGGAGGGAAGCCATTTTTCGCCACCCCTCGCGAGGGTCGCGGCCTCCGAGGGGGAGGCTGCCAACGACTACCCCCCCATCCCGCCGCAAGGGGCCCCCGAGAGCCCCCCATGGCCCCAGGGGGGCCCAATGCGCCGCCAAGGAGCCCCAAGACGCTCCCAAGAAGCCCCCAAGAAGCCCCCAAGACGGCCCCAAGAGGCCCCAAATAGCGCTCCAGGGACGGCGGAATGAGCGAAGCGATTGAATAATATTTTGGCGCTCCTCCTTGGCGCGGACCCAGACCCGCGCTGACTGGCCGGCCCCAGACCCGCGGCCGTCGCGGTCTGTCGCGCCCGCAAGCGGTGTCCACACAGCATCTCGCGCATGTGAATTGACCCTGGAGTCGTCGGCGGCACGAGCGAGTGGGACGGCGCACTCGGGATGCCGATCGGCGGTGCCCGCACCGCGATGATGCCGTGGCACGCAGCGGCACAGCTCGCCCAATCCTGGTCTGCATGCGCCTTCAATTCGGACGAAGGAGGCCACCAATTGCATCTCTTGTCTCCGTGGATCCGCGCCCTTGGGTGCAACCGTCTCTTCACCAATGCGGGCCCTCCAGCGTGCCGCGGTGGGAATAATGAGAGTACCCCTTGCGCCAATTATGTATACGACCGCGTCTGTTATGGCTCTCTGCACTCCACAGAGGAGGCGCACCCGCTGCTCGCCCGCTGGGGCCCTTCTACGTTGCCAGAGTGATTGTAGGAAGTTCTGCTTCTCCTCGAACGACCAGCAGCCGATGTTGCATGCCTTCTTGATGTCGCGTCCGCCGTGAACATGATCGCCTGCTACCAGCTGCACGCGGGGCGTTGGCCTCTGGCCCCATCTGCCTAAAAACCGGCCTAGTAGGCCACGCGGCTCCTTCTCGGGCACTCCGCTGAAACACCGACCCCCACACCGCCCCAAACTCCCGCCCAAATCAAGACGAGCGGCAACGGGGAAAGGAGAGGGGAGGGCCCGGAGTGCCATCCGCCTCCGCCATGGCGAGCTCCTGGAGCACGCCTGGGAATTCCCACAGGACGCGGTCGCGGTCGTGCCCGCACTTGGCTAGAAAGCTGCCAAGAACCATCGCGTCGCGATGGCAGGGGCAACTGCCGCCGCCCAGGCAGCGGCTGTCCTTGACGCGCTGCAACCACAGGCCACCCAGCGCCCCATGTCGTTGCCCGGTTTCGATATACTTACGGTTTGGCTATGATTTGGTTCTGCTTTGGCTACGAGTTGGTTATGATTTGGTTACGAGTTATGCAACTTGGTTATCATATGGTTACGACAATTGAAAATATGGTTACGCTTTGGTCATGCGAACATCTTCCCGGGAAGATTTGAGTTACGGGGGTGTTGAATGCATTTTGATGGCTCAAGTGTGTGAGGGGTCGATCGTAACCAAATTCTTCGCGTTTTGGTTACGCGCAACAATTTCGAGCGTTACCATATAATTTGGTTACGTACACTAGGGAATAGCCCTATAGCCCAATAGCCCATATAGCCCCTTGTAATATAAAAAAAGACTCTGATTGGGTTTTTCTCCGGTATCATGATAATTACTCCGACGGTAGGACCCCGCATGATAATCTGTTTAGCTTGCCTCGGGAAATCCTCCTGCCGCCTCGCTTCTCCCACCTACTCCTGCCTCCTCCTTTTCCTTCTGCCTCCTCCTCCTCCTCCTCCTTCTCCTTCCTCAACCCCTGCCTCCTCCACCACCACCACCACCACCTCCTCCTCCTCCTCCTCCTCCTCCTCCTCCTCCTCCTTTTCCTCCTCCTCGTTATGCCTCCTCCCACCATTCCCCGTGTTCCTCCTGCCTCCTGCGTCCTCCTCCTCCTGGTATTTTCCTTCTCCCTCCTCCACCTCCTGTTCCTCCTCCTCCTCCTCCTCCTCCTCCTCCTCCTCCTCCTCCTCCTCCTCCGCCTCCCCTCTCCAACTTCCTCTTCTCCCTCTCCCTCCCCCGCCTCCTCCCCCTCCTCGTCTCCATCTCCCCCCCTTCCTCCTACGCCTCCCCCTCCTCCTGCCTCCTCCTTAGGTTTCGTGCCTCCTCCTGGGGACTCTTGGGGCCTCTTGGGGCCCCCTGGAGCCTTCTAGGCCTCCCAGGACATCCTCAGGCCTCCTAGGGCACTTTTCTTCCTCCATGTCCTCCTCGTCCTTTTCGCCCTGTGCTTCCTCCTTCTCATCCTCCTCCTCCTCCTGCTTTTCTTTCTCGTCCTGCATCGTCCTGCCTCCTCCTTTTTCCTCCTCGTGCGGAACACGACCGAAAGGAAACGCACGACGTGCGTCCCGGCGGATACGCGCCGGAGGACGACCCAAAGGAAACGCGCGCCGGAGGACGACCCGGAGGAAACACGAGAGGCGCGGGCCCCATAGGGAAGGGGCTCCCGCCTGAGCCTTCCTCACAGTTCACTCACAATCGAACTTCCCGCCTGATACTTCCCCGATATTCAGACCTCAGGAGCCCGAAAGTGACGACAGTTACACGTTCGAGGATGACCCGCTCGGATTACCAACGTGAAGTGCTGGCCCCATAGGGGGGGGGTCTCCCGCCTGAGACTTCCTCACAGTTCACACACAATCGAAGCTCCCGCCTGTTGCTTCCCCCATACTCAGGCCTCAGGAGCCCAAAAGTGACGACAGTTACACGTTCGAGGATGACCCGCTCGGATTACCAACGTGAAGTGCGGGCCCCACAGGGAGGAGGCTCCCTGACTTCCTCACAGTTCACTCACAGACGAGGCTCCCGCCTGATGCTTCCCCCATATTCAGGCCTTAGTGACGACAGTTATGCAAGTTCGAGAAACCCGCTCGGATAACTAACATGAGGTGCGGGCCCCAGGGAGGGGGCTCCCGCCTGAGCCCGACTGATACTTCCCCCATTTTCAGGCGTCAAGAGACCAAACATTGACGACAGTCATGCTGTTTTTCAAAACTCGCGGAGAACTTACTTCTGTTGCGACACTAGGCTCGAGACTGCCGCGATTGTTGTAAAACCAGCTGGCACGGACTAGAGCCACGAGACTCTCGTCGCGACCAGGAATCGATTCACAACGCACCCCGCGAGGTTAAAAAGGGGGGGCTGGGAGGGAAGCTTGAGCAAGAGCGGTTGCGGGCAAGATAAAAGCAAGGCCCGCAAGACATGACAGACGTTACTGACGTCACTGCAATATCGTGGTACCCACAAACATGTTTTTTTTGTTTTTTTTTTCAAAACTCGCGGAGGACTTACTCGTGTTGCGACACCAGGCTCGAGACTGCCGCAACTGCTGTAAAACCAGCCGGCACGGACTAGAGCCACGAGACTCTCGTCGCGACAACGAATCGATTCAGAACGCACTCCGAATCGAGTGCCGGGTCTAGGCCCGAATCGGTAGTTCACAGCGCAGCGGAGTCCACCTCATCGTCTCTCTCCGAAGGGCGGACGCGGGTAGCAGGGCACGGGCAAGCGCGGAGGCGAGAGGCCGAGGATACGCGGCCGAAGCGGCAGTAGCTCGAGAACCCTCGACAACGACATGCTTGCGGCCTGTCGCGGAACAAAAGCAATGTTTCCCGTGCATCGATTCTCCGACGGGCAGCCCAGAGGATCTAAACCCAGCTCGTCACCACAACCGAACGCCAGTCGCGTAGCTTTGCTGCGTTGTGACCCGAACTGGCACTGGTGAGCGTCGCAGATTTTCACACGCGCAGACTTAAGAACTTCGCGCAGACGCGGATCGCGCTACATGCAACTGGACTGCGGATGCTAGAAACAGAAGGGAACGCGCGCACGCGCGCAAGCTTGCACGACCCTAATCACGAAATCAAGAAACACATTCCCTAGTCTCACCTTTGCCCTTCGGTCGCTCGGGAGCCTGGGGAGACCTCTGGGGCACCGCCTGCTGCGGATCGGACAGGAAGACTTCTGAACGATTGAAAAAGACGTGCACGGCGGCGCCATCACGGCTAGCACCACCTGTTGCCGCAAGCTTCGCAGCACTCTGGCCTGGACACAACTTCTGAAGAGGTCACCTGCCGGACCACCGCGGAGGTCATACTCACGCGTCTGGAAACGCCACTGTCGAGCCGCGCGCGCCACGCCGCCGACTGCCGAGTAGACGTCCAACAAATGCCCTCTGGAGCCTGCGGGCACGGGCGCACTGGCACCGGCGCCCCGCGTAGGAACACATCCTCCAGGCGCTCCTCGCAAACGAGGGCGAACGCCTGCACGTCGGGGCCCAGCCTCCTCCACGCCTGGTTCAGGTGCCCTGTTTTCTCGTAGCGCACGAGTAAGCGAAATTATGAACGCCTCCCTCTCTTCATTGCCTCTTCCTGGGACCGAAGACAGAAGGCGCGGTCGAGGCTGATCCCGCTGCGCCGCGCCTGATAGGGCACCATGGGGATCCGCGGCCGATCTCACCGAACTGCTGGTAGTGGTAGTCCCACGGGAACAGCTTCTCCGTAGACGAGCCTGTGGCCAGGTGCGCAAACACTGGGTCCGCCCAGCGCATTCTCTCGGAGTTCATCACCACGGCGTCGTCCGCGCCCCCAACCTTGCTCCGTTCGATCTTCTCCTGGGGGAAGAGGCGCAGGCGCCAGTCTGTCAGGCCGCCCCGCGCCGGGGGGGCCAAGGAGCCCCGCCGGAGGCTGAGCAGCTCTGACGGCATCAGGTAAGCGCTCACCATCAGCAGCACTCCAAACCCCGCGCGCCCGCGCCCGCTTCGCAGCAGCTCCAGCGCCGGCGCGGCCCACGCGACCCAAGGCAGCGGCCGCCGACTGAACTTCGGGCAGAGCTTCCTCCACCCTCTGAGGCACTGAAGAGCCCGCGGCACGTGCCGGCTGCAACCTCGCCCGAAACTCGGGTAGGCGAACATCAGGGCGGCCGCCATGTACTCGCCTCGCCACGCGCGATCCCCGAGTCGATACCTCGAGTTCATCCACGCCACGAGACATTCGCCCACCTCGCCGTCCTCGCACAGCGCCATGCTCTCCCGGTCGGCAAGGTCCAGGAGCTCTTGCACGCACGACCGATAACGGACTCGGCTGGCCTCCGACACGCTCGCGGCCTCCAGGTAGCTATGACCAGGAAGCATCGTCATCTTGCCCTCGGAAATTCGCGCCACCCGCCGCCGCGCCCGCTGCCGCGCCAGCCGCTCCTCCTTGCGGTCCGCCTCCGTCGCCGCCTCCTCGGACGCGGGGTCGCTCTCGTCGTCCCCGACGGTCGAGCCGGCGTCTGCGACCCGCGCTGCCAGCCTTGCCTGCGCCTCCAGCGAGCCACTCGGCTCCAGCGCCGGCGCCTCCAGCCGCGCTTGCAGGCTCGTCGCCCTCGCCGCTGTCAGCGCCCGGGCGCGCCTCGAGCTTCGGCTCCGCGCGCGGGCCTGCCTCTCCAGTCGCCGCCAGCGTCCGCGATCGCCCGACCGCGCCCCGCTGCACTCCTGGCGCGGGCACCGCCAGTGCCCTCTCCCGCCTCGCCTGGACCATGCGATCCAGGCCTTCGAGCCACACGGCCGACGGAAGGTCGTTTAGGTTGTCTCGCTGTAGGATTCGGCTCGCTGCTCCTAGCTCCTGTCTCCTGCCCCTCCTCACACCTCCTCTCTGCTCGCTGCTCTCGATCCTCTTCTCCTCCTCGCTCTCGCTGGTCATCATCTTCTCGCTCTCCTTGCTCCTCCTCGTGTACTTATGATGGTAGCTCTCTGTCTCCTCTAAGTTATGCTTCGCTCTCTCGTCCGTCTCGCTCATGCTCTTGATCGTGTGACTCGCCATCTTGATGCCCGTATTGAGTACGTCCGTCGTCGTAGACCACACCGACCTCGGAAACGCCCAGGCTTCGGCCCCGACCCTCTTTATCACCACGTGGCCCTGGGGAGCAGGAGACGATCCAGGTGGCATCTTTCTTTTCATCGTAGTCTCTGTCAAACAATCGGCTTCCCTTGTCGCTGCTGTTAAGCTCTGAAGGCACCCAGCGGAAAACCAGCCGCAGGCCTCGCGCCAGCGCGAGAGAGCCAGCCCGCCTAAAAGAAGGGTCAGCAGCTTGAAGTCTCTTGAACGGGACCTCCCCAGCGCCAGGGTCAGCCCCAGGTTATCTCCCACGAACAAAGCTCGTGCGTCGTGTCCGCGTCGGCTCCTGGCAAGGCGCTCGATCTCCTTCGGCACGGCACGGGCCTCCAGGTGGATGATCCCTTCTTCGTACCTCCACTTGTCAGCCATCACTGTGCTCCACCAGGATCCATGTAGCAAACGAGCTGGCAACCCCAGGAACGACCTGTCGCGCCCCCACCTCAGCGCCTCGTCCTCGGCAGGCCCAGCTCGAGCCTGCAGCAGCCCGTCATCGCGCCCCTCCAGCCCTGCAGCAGCAAAAGCGTGGCTCCTCGCGGCCTCGGCCCCCAGGCGGAACCGCGCGCGTTCGGGCACTCGCCCAGCGTCCGCGACCGCCGCCACCGGCCACTGCGAGTAGGCCACCCCGAAAGCCCACGGCGCGGCATCGGTCTGGTAGACGCCTCCAAGAAAACCCTCTAAGAAAACCGCTTCGCCTCCAAGAAAACCATGGCACCGCAGAAGGCCTTAGGCTCCTCCTTCACGCACTGCCACAGCGGCGCGCTCTCGTAGTACAGCTTCTTCACAAACCTGTAGGTGCCGTGGAGAATGGACAGCAGCTCCCGCCTGATCAACGCCACGACCGTCATATGCCCCACCAGGACCTCGAGCTCCTGCCCGCTGCAGACACCGCGCCGCCAAACCTCCTAGATGGAGTCCCGCGCGCGCCAGAACCGCTTGGCCGTCGGCCGAGTCTGGTCCCCAGCTCCGTCTACCTCGATGCCCAGGACCACCCCGCACTCGCAGGCCACCTCCGTTTCGTGCACCGTCAGCCCCTGGCCCCCGACGGTCTGTCACCGCGGTCAGACCCTTGCGCCCGTACTCCTCGTCATCACGCCTAAGTTGTCGACGTAGCAAAACTTGCCTCGTCCAGCGTCGCCTCCTCCTCCCTGGAGCACCAGCGGCGGCCCGCGATCCGGAAGAAGGTGCGCGTCCCTCAGTTCCTCGGTCAACTCCATCTGCAGGGCGTTGGCCTCCTGCGCTAAGTAAAGGCCCCACGCCCAGCCCATGGGGAGGGACTGCGCGAGCGGGCACAACACCATGTCCTTCTCAACGCGCCGCCCTTCCCACTTGGCCAATCCGAGCTCGGAGGCCCATGCCTCGGGGCAGGCGAAGTACTCGTCGAGCTTCGACTCCTTCGGGGACCTCAACCTGTGGGGGCAGTCCTTACGTCAGAGGTCCCTAGGTAAACAGCACCCACTTCGCCTCCACGCCGCTCCACCCGACTGAGACCTTCTCCCGTCAGCAAGCTCACACTTGGGGGCGATACCAACTGCCGGTTAGACGCCCGGCAATCCAGGATGAGTCTCTGCTGCAAGCCGTCCTTTTTCTTCACCACAAATACGCCCACGTCGCAATCCTTACTGGCACTGAGTCGCACCAGCCCTATTCGTGGGAGTCTCTTGACCAGCCCCACGTACACCTTCCGATTGGACTTCAGCACGGAGTCTGCGCAGGGACGCACAGGGCCCAGCGTCTTGTCGAGAACAGCCACCTCCTCGGGCGACCTCAGCATGTAGCTCTCGTGCTCCTTCAAAATTATCCTGCGAAGTACCCAACCTTTTCTACACAAGTGACAATTTCATTCAGGACCGCTCAATACCGAAGAACATTTCGGCGCCATGGTATAGTGGTGATCTGCGTAGGACGTGCCTCCGCTGAGCCTCCCAGAAGCCCATGCGCGCCAGGTGAGCCAAGCGCTCCAGGCGCGCCAGGTGCGCCAGATGCGCCAGGTGCGCCAGGTGCGCCCCGCGCGCCAGGTGCGCCAGGTGCGCCACGTGCGCCAGGCGCGCCAGGCGCGCCAGGCGCGCCAGGTGCGCCAGGTGCGCCAGGCGCGCCAAGTGAGCCAGGTGTGCGCCAGGTGTGCGCCAGGTGTGCGCCCGGTGCGCCAGGTGCGCCCAGCCCGCCAGGTGCGCCAGGTGCGCCAGATGCGCCAGGTACGCCAGGCGCGCCAGGCGCGCCAGGTGCGCCAGGTGCGCCAGGTGCGCCAGGCGCGCCAGGCGCGCCAGGTACGCCAGGTGCGCCAAGTGAGCCAGGTGCGCCAGGCGTGCGCCAAGTGTGCGCCAGGTGCGCCTAGCGCGCCAAGCGCGCCAGGTGCGCCAGGTGCGCCAGGTGCGCCAGGAGCGCCACGTGCGCCACGTGCGCCAGGCGCGCCAGGCGCGCCAGGTGCGCCAGATGCGCCAGGCGCGCCAAGTCTGCGCCAGGTGTGCGCCACGTGTGCGCCAGGTGTGCGCCTGCTGTGCCAGGTGCGCCAGGTGCGCCCAGCGCGCCACGTGCGCCAGGTCCGCCAGATGCGCCAGGTACGCCAGGCGCGCCAGGCGCGCCAGGTGCGCCAGGTGCGCCCAGCGCGCCAGGTGCGCCAGGTGCGCCAGGTGCGCCAGGCGCGCCTAGTGAGCCAGGCGCGGCAGGTGTGCGCCAGGTGTGCGCCAGGTGCGCCTAGCGCGCCAGCCGCGCCAGGTGCGCCAGGTGCGCCAGGTGTGCCAGGTGCGCCAGGTGCGCCAGGCGTGCGCCAGGTGTGCGCCCGGTGCGCCAGGTGCGCCTAGCGCGCCAGGCGCGCCAGGTGCGCCAGGTGCGCCAGTTGCGCCAGGTGTTCCAGGTGCGCCAAGTGTGCGCCAGGTGTGCGCCAGGTGTGCGCCCGGTGCGCCAGGTGCGCCAGGTGCGCCCAGCGCGCCAGGTGCGCCAGGTGCACTGGATGCGCCAGGTACGCTAGGTGCGCCAGGAGCGCCAGGTGCGCCAGATGCGCCAGGTGCGCCAGGTGCGCCAGGCGCGCCAAGTGAGCCAGGTGCGCTAGGTGTGCGCCAGGTGCGCCTAGCGCGCCAGATGCGCAAGGTGCGCCAGGTGCGCCAAGTGTGCGCCAGGTGCGCGCCAGGTGCGCCGGGTGCGCCAGGTGCACCAGTTGCGCCAGGCGCGCCAGTTGCGCCATGCGCGCCAGTTGCGCCAGGTGCGCCAGGGCCGCGCCAGGCGCGCCAGGTGCGCCAGGTGCGCCAGGTGCGCCAGGCGCGCCAGGTGCGCCAGGTGCGCCAGGTGCGCCAGGCGCGCCAAGTGAGCCAGCTGCTCCAGGTGTGCGCCAGGGCCGCGCCAGGTGCGCCAGGTGCGCCAGGTACGCCAGGTGCGCCAGGTGTACCAGGTGCGCCAGGTGCGCCATGCGTGCGCCATGCGTGCGCCAGGTGTGCGCCAGGTGCGTCAGGTGCGCCCAGCGCGCCAGGTGCACCAGGCGCCCGCCAGGTGCTCCCAGCGCGCCTGGTGCGCCAGGTGCGCCCAGCGCGTCAGGTGCGCGCCAGGCGCGCGCCAGGTGCGCCAGTTGCGCCAGGTGTGCGCCACGTGTGCGCCAGGTGCGCGCCGGGTGCGCCAGGTGCGCCAGTTGCCCCAGGTGCGCCAGGTGCGCCAGTTGCGCCAGGCGCGCCAAGTGAGCCAGGTGCGCCATGTGCGCCAAGTGCGCCAGGTGCGCCAGGTGCGCCACGTGCGCCAGGTGCGCCAGGCGCGCCAGGCGCGCCAGGTGCGCCAGATGCTCCAGGCGCGCCCGGTGCGCCAAGTGCGCGCCAGGTGTGCGCCAGGTGTGCGCCCGGTGCGCCAGGTGCGCCCAGCGCGCCAGGTGCGCCAGGTGCACTGGATGCGCCAGGTACGCCAGGTGCGCTAGGAGCGCCAGGTGCGACAGGCACGACAGGTGCGCCAGGCGCGCCAGGTGCGACAGGCGCGCCAGGTGCGCCAGGTCTGCGCTAGGTGTGGCAGGTGCGCTAGGTGCGCCCAGCGCGCCAGGTGCGCCGGGTGCGCATGATGCACCAGGTGCACCAGGTGTGCGCCAGGCGCGCGCCAGTTGCGCCATGCGCGCCAGTTGCGCCAGGCGCGCCACGTGCGCCAGGTGCGCCCAGCGCGCCAGGTGCGCCAGGTGCGCCCAGCGCGCCAGGTGCGCCAGGTGCGCGCCAGGCGCGCCAGGTGCGCGCCAGGTGCGCGCCAGGTGCGCCACGTGCGCCCAGCGCGCCAGGTGCGCCAGGTGCGCGCCAGGTGCGCGCCAGGTGCGCGTCAGGTGCGTTAGGTGCGCCCAGCGCGCCAGGTGCACGCCTGGTGCGCCAGGTGCGCCAAGTGCGCCAAGGGGGCAAGGAGGCGTCAAAGTGGCCTGCGTAAGACGCACCTCCGCTGGGCCTCCCAGGAACCCACGGAAGTGGCGACGGTTGCGCAGATCGCAGCCCCGCAGGGGACAGGGAGGCCTCAAAATGATCTGCGCATGGCGCACCTCCGCTGGGCCTCCCAGGAACCCACGAAAATAGCGACAGTTGCGCAGATCGCAGCCCCGCAGGGGACAGGGAAGCCTCAAAGTGATCTGCGTATGACGTACCTCCGCTGGGCCTCCCAGGAACCCACGAAAGTGGCGCCAGTTGCGCAGATCGCAGCCACGAAGAGGGCAGGGAGGATGATGCGCGTATGACGTACCTCCGCTGGGCCTCCCAGGAACCCACGAAAGTGGCGACAGTTGCGCAGATCGCAGCCCCGCAGGGGGCAGGGAGGCCTCAAAGTGATCTGCGTATATGACGCACCTCCGCCGGGCTTCCCAGGAAGCCACGAAAGTGGCGACAGTTGCGCAGATCGCAGCCCCGCAGGGGGCAGGGAGGCTTCAAAGTGATCTGCGTATGACGCACCTCCGCCGGGCCTCCCAGGAACCCACGAAAGCGGCGACAGTTGCGCAGATCGCAGCCCCGAGGCCTCAAAGTGATCCATCTGCGCATGACGCACCTCCGCTGGGCCTCCCAGAAGCCCATGAAAGTGGCGACAGTTGCGCTGATCGCAGCCCCGCAGGGGACAGGGAGGCCTCAAAGTGATTTGCGTATGACGCACCTCCGCTGGGCCTCCCAGGAACCCACGAAAGTGGCGACAGTTGCGCAGATCGCCGCCCCACAAGGGACAGGGAGGCCTCAAAGTGATCTGCGTGTGACGCACGTCCGCTGGGCCTCCCAGGAACCTACAAAAGTGGCGACAGTTGCGCAGGTCGCAGCCCCGCAGGGGACAGCCAGGAGCCCACGAAGCGGCGACAGTGGCGCAGATCGCAGCCCCGCAGAGCACCGCGAACATAGGAGAGAAGGAGGAGGAGAGGGCGGGAAGTGGATACCACAGTTCTCTTTTCAAAACGAATACCCAACCATAGGAAGGTTGGGAAAATCAACGCCGCATCCGGCAACAGTCGATCCACTCGACGTGTCCGCCTGACGTCCTCAGAGATGCTGAGCCGGTCGTGCGCGACTTAAGGGGGCCAGGTTAGCTCGGGCCTCGGCATAGGGGCCGTGACCCCGCAGCAGCCATGGAAGGGCCGCGACCCCGCGCTGCTCGAGCGCCGCCAGCCAGCCGCGGCCAACTGCGCCCGCCGCTGCGTGTCCCGCCGCAATCCAGCTACGTTATCGAAGGTCGCCAGGCGCGGCTGCGCGCGGCCGGCATCTCGCCCGCGCGCGCCGCGCATCCAATTCAAGCTCTCGATGGCGTCATTCGCGAGCCTCCTCACCTGCAGCTTCTCTCGCCTGGTCAGCCCGAAGCCGATGTCGGGGTCGAGCTGCTGGAACTCGGGCACCGGGAAGTACTCTCCCGCGCCGCCGGCCTCGTCCACCGCGCCCGGGGGTGGCCACGC